GGTACACTCAAGCCGAAAATCAGCCAGTTGCTGCTGTACCAACAGTTTTGGCTGATTTATGGCTTGAGTGTATCCAGTTTAAGACCTTTCAGATAGAATGACAGCACTATGCACTATTATTCTAAGGGACTGTGGGTGAAGCTCGGTGTGGCTGCCCACTGAAGGGACAATCAATGATGCCAACATCTAAGCAGCAGCAAAGGTGCCATGACAAGGCTGCCATGAGTTCACTGCCACAAAAAAAAGAGGGTGGCCACCTCATTAACTACTTGACAGCCGGACTATAGCTGAATGATGGCTACAGGGTGTCCTATGACGTCCTCCCAGAACACGCCACCAGCAGTATGCACCTGGTGCTGTCTGTGATTGCTGTGTCCTACAGACACAGCTGATCACATAAGGTAAAAGGCCAATCACAGCGGCCTTTTACCACATGATCAGCTGTGTCCAATGACAAAGCTGATCACAAAATAAATACAGTTGCCGGTTATCGGCAGCACTTTCCTCACGCTGTCACAGCGTGAGAAAGTACTGCTAATAACCAGCAAGTGTCACAGAGGGCATCTGCACTGATAATCAGGGCACTGATTATCAGTGCAGCCCCAAAAGTGCCCATCAGTGCCTCCTATCAGTGCAGCATCATCAGTGCCTCCTCAATTCCCACCAGTGCCGCCTCATGAGTGCAGCTGATCAGTGCAGCCTCAACACACATCATTAAAGGAGAAAATGTCCCAGTTTGCAAAATTTTATAATAGAATTTTTTTTTTTTTCAAATTGTTTGCTCTTTTTTTCATTTATAGAACAAAAAAAACAGTGGCGATAAAATATCACCAAAAGAGAGCTCTATTTGTGTGAAAAAAATGATAAACATTTTATATGGGTACAGTGTTGCATGACCGCACAATTGTCATTCCATTGGCAGCAAAATTGGCCTGGGCAGGAAGGGGGTAAAAGTGCCCGGTAGGCAAGTGATTAAAGGAAGTGCCTTTGCAATGCTTTTGCTGGTTGGATCAACCGGTATTTACAAAATATTCCAGGGATGCTTACAAAACAGCCCAGGCTTACTGGTTATGGGCAGCCTACATCAAATAGTTACATACTGTAGTTGGTAAAGTTGAATAAAGACACCAGTCCAACCTCTGTTAGTGTGTGTCTTTATATGTTTTTGTCCATTTCCCATATCCCTGTATATTGTGTTTGCTGTGATGCCCATCTAAAAGGTTTTGAAAGTATCGACACTCCTTGCTGACATGATCTGTTGTGTAAAGGAGTTTCACAGACCTACTGCTCTAACCGTAAAGTACCTTTTATGTACAATGCCTTGAAAAAGTATTCATACCCCTTGCAATTTTCCATATTTTGTCATATTACAACCAAACGTAAATATTTTGAGGGGGATTTTATGTGATAGACCAACACAAAGTGACACATAATTGCGAAGTGGAAGGAAAATGATAAATGGTTTTCAACATTTTTTAAAAATATCTGAAAAGTGTGGTGTGCATTAGTATTCAGCCCCCTTTACTCTGATACCCCTAACTAAAATCTAGTGGAACCAATTGCCTTCAGAAACCGCCTAATTAGTAAATAGAGTCCACCTGTGTGCAATTTAATCTCAGTATAAATACAGCTGTTCTGTGAAGCCTCCGAGGTTTGTTAGAGAACATTAGTGGACAAACAGCATCATGAAGGCCAAGGAACACACCAGACAGGTCAGGGATAAAGTTGTGGAGACGTTTAAAGCAAGGTTAGGTTATAAAATATGCCAAGCTTTTAAACATCTCACAGAGCACTGTACAATCCATCATCTGAAAATGGAAAGTTTGCACAACTGCAAACCTACCAAGACATGGCCGTCCACCTAAACTGACAGGCCGGGCAAGGAGAGCATTAATCAGAGAAGCATCTAAGAGGCCCATGGTAACTCTGGAGGAGCTGCAGAGATCCACAGCTCAGGTGGGAGAATCTGTCCACAGGAAAACTATTAGTCATGCACTCCACAAATCTGGCCTTTATGGAAGAGTGGCAAGAAGAAAGCCGTTCTTGAAAGAAAGCCATAAGAAGTCCCGCTTAAAGTTTGCGAGAAGTCGTGGGGGACACAGCAAAAGTGGAAGAAGGTACTCTGGTCAGATAAGACCAAAATTTAACTTTTTGGCCAAAAAACAAAATGCTATGTGTGGCGGAAAACTAACACTGCACATCACCCTGAACACACCATCCCTACCGTGAAACATGGTGGTGGCAGCATGTTGTGGGGATGCTTTTCTACAGCAGGGACAGGGAAGCTGGTCAGAGTTGATGGGAAGTTGGATGGAGCCAAATACAGGGCAATCTTAGAAGAAAACCTGTTAGAGTCTGCAAAAGACTTGAGATTGGGGCGGAGGTTCACCTTCCAGCAGGACAATGACCCGAAACATACAGCAAGAGCTACAATGGATTGGTTTAGATCAAAGCATATTTAGGTGTTAGAATGGGCCAATCAAAGTCCAGACCTAAATCCAATTGAGAATCTGTGGCAAAACTTAAAAATTGCTGTTCACAGATGCTCTCCATCCAATCTGACAGAGCTTGAGCTATTTTGCAAACAAGAATTTTGCAAAGCTGGTAGAAATCCCCAAAAAGACTTGCAGCTGTAATTGCAGTGAAAGGGGGTCCTACAAAGTATTTGGGGCTGAATACAAATACACGCCACACTTTGCACAGATTTATTTGTAAAACATTTTGAAAACCATTTATCATTTTCCTTCCACTTCACAATTATATGCCACTTTGTGTTGGTCTATCACATAAAATACATTTACGTTTTTGGTTGTAACATGAGAAAATGTGGAACATTACAAGGGCACTGTAGTTTAATTTTAAACTGCTTCTCGTCAAACTTCATTAGTGGCCCTGTGTCCTCTTAAATGGTCTTAGACTGAATAGTTTTTTTTCCTATGTTTTAATCACCACTCAGATATTTTGTATATTGTGATCATATACAAATACATGATCTAGTATACACATATACAGTGGGGCAAAAAGGTATTTAGTCAGCCACCAATTGTGCAAGTTCTCCCACTTAAAAAGATGAGAGAGGCCTGTAATTGGCATCATAGGTAAATCTCAACTATGAGAGACAAAATGAGAAAAAAAAAGCCAGACAATCACATTGGCTGATTTGGAAAGAATTTATTTGCAAATTATGGTGGAAAATAAGAATTTGGTCAATATCAAAGTTGGTCAAAGTTCATCTCAATACTTTGTTATATATCCTTTGTTGGCAATGACAGAGGTCAAATGTTTCCTGTAAGTCTTCACAAGGTTACACACACTGTTGCTGGTATGTTGGGTCCATTCCTCCATGCAGATCTCCTCTAGAGCAGTGATGTTTTGGGGCTGTCGCTGGGCAACACGGACTTTCAACTCCCTCCAAAGGTTTTCTATGGGGTTGAGATCTGGAGACTGGCTAGGCCACTCCAGGACCTTGAAATGCTTCTTACGAAGCCACTCCTTTGTTGCCCGGGCGGTATGTTTGGGATCATTGTCATGTTGGAAGACCCAGCCACGTTTCATCTTCAATGCCCTTGCTGATGGAAGGAGGTTTGCACTCAAAATCTCACGATACATGGCCCCATTCATTCTGTCCTGTACATGGATCAGTCATCCTGGTCCCTTTGCGGAGAAACAGCCCCAAAGCATGATGTCGCCACCCCCATGCTTCACAGTAGGTATGGTGTTCTTTGGATGCAACTCGGCATTCTCTCTCCTCCAAACACGACGAGTTGTGTTTCTACCAAACAGTTCTATTTTGGTTTCATCTGACCATATGACATTCTCCCAATTCTCTTCTGGATCATCCAAATGCTCTCTAGCAAACTTCAGACGGGCCCGGACATGTACTGGCTTAAGCAGGGGGACCCGTCTGGCACTGCAGGATCTGAGTACCTGGCGGCATTGTGTGTTACTGATGGTAGCCTTTGTTACGTTGGTCCCAGCTCTCTGCAGGTCATTCACTAGGTCCCCCCGTGTGGTCCTGGGATTTTTTGCTCACCGTTCTTGTGATCATTTTGACTGCACAGGGTGAGATCTTGCGTGGAGCCCCAGATCGAGGGAGATTATCAGTGGTCTTGTATTTCTTCCATTTTCTAATTATTGCTCCCACAGTTGATTTGTTCACACCAAGCTGCTTGCCTATTGCAGATTCAGTCTTGCCAGCCTGGTGCAGGTCTACAATTTTGCTTCTGGTGTCCTTCGACAGCTCTTTGGTCTTCACCATAGTGGAGTTTGGAGTGTGACTGTTTGAGGTTGTGGACAGGTGTCTTTTATACTGATAACAAGTTCAAACAGGTGCCATTGATACAGGTAATGAGTGCAGGACAGAGGAGCCTCTTAAAGAAGAAGGTACAGGTCTGTGAGAGCCAGAAATCTTGCTTGTTTGTAGGTGACCAAATACTTATTTTCCACCATAATTTGCAAATAAATTCTTTCCAAATCAGCCAATGTGATTGTCTGGATTTTGTTTCTCATTTTGTCTCTCATAGTTGAGGTCTACCTATGGTGCCAATTACAGGCCTCTCTCATCTTTTTTAAGTGGGAGAACTTGCACAATTGGTGGCTGACTAAATACTTTTTTGCCCCACTGTATGTGATATAGTGTGACCATAGTCCATTCTAAAACATGTGGAGCATGGACAAATTATGTCTCTGGTTTAGGAGATCAACTAATCAGCTTTTTACCATCTTTCCCAGCTTCTGAAAATTAGTCACATATGTGAGTAGGTTAAATTTTTATAGATTTTATAGATCTAAACAGCCAAATCTTTGAAATGGTTTTTGTTTAGCCTATAAGCTTTTGGTAAAACCAGAGCTGTTCTGTATCATTGGCACTGGCCAGCTAATCTCATACACTGTCATATTTACTTAATTTTACAGGAGATACCTCAGTCCTGGCTGGAGTCTATGGACCAGCAGAAATTAAAATCAGCAGAGAGTTGCACGATAAATCCACCATCGAGGTGATGGTTAGACCCAAGGTGGGTTTACCTGGTAAGTATTAATTTTTTTCTGAAAATATGCTTCTGTTTATTGCCTGTATCTTCTTTTCTTTTGGCCAACTCCAGCTTAACATCCCTCGATTGAAACATTGAAGGAACTGGGTGGAAACCTGTAAGCCTAAAAGTGACTGCTTTCAGGCAGATGCAGCTGCTGTTTGGGTATTTTGACAGCTGGTGGGCTGGCTGTCAAAATACAATAGGCACAGCAGAAGATTCGTCCATCCACGTTGTATAATGTGAATCAGTTTTTTTTTTCTTTTGTTTGTTCGTTCAACCAGTTTATGGCCAGTGTTAAACATTTGCTAGCCACAGCGACATAGTAGAATGTTTTTTCATGGCCTTGCTTACGATCATTTGTGATCCTGTCACTATAGCAAAGTTTTCAAGGCAAGTTATACCTGTAAGAGAGGAAACACTTTGCTCCCCCAGCCATCCATCTACCCCTCTATTGAATGGAAATCCTCTTCTGAAAACTGATATACAAAAAATGCAGCACAATATTATAAATATTAAATATGCATAAATCTTGCTCTGTGACAATAATTACTATATACGTGCATATTCTGTGCTCAAAACGTGTAGCTTTAACCATTTCCATACCGGGCACTTTTACCCCCATCCCTCCCAGGCCATTTTTCAGGTTTCAGCGCTCTCACACTTTGAATGACAATTGCGCGGTCATACAACATTGTACCCAAACTAAAATTTTATCATTTTCTTCACACAACTAGAGCTTTCTTTTGGTGGTATTTAATCACCGCCTGGGGTTTTTATTTTTTGCTAAATTAAAAAAAAAGACAAAATTTGGAAAAAAAAAACACGTTTTTCTTTGTTTCTGTTATAAAAGTTTGCAAATAAATAATTGTTCTTCATAAATTTAGGCCAAGATGTATTCTGCTACATGTCTTTGGTGAAAATAACCCAAATTAGGATATATTTTTTAGTTTGTAGGAAAGTTATAGAGTTCACAAACTATGGTATAGATCTGAATATTGATCAATCCTGAAGTACTGACGGCCAATCTAATTCTTGAGGTCCAAGAATGTCAGAACAGTACAGATGTCCTCCAAATGACCCCTTTTTGCAGAGTAGACAGTCCAACGTACTTCATAAGAGGCATGGCGAGTTTTTTGAAGTTGTATTTTTTTTGTCAGAATTTTTTGGAAAATGAAAAAATTTAATTATTTTCATTCTTTTTTTTTTTTTTTACATACTGTCACCAGTGCAGTACAGCATCATCATATAACTGGCATGGCGGTGATCAGGGACACTGACTGGTGACAGTATGAAAAAAAAAATATATATATATTTTTTTAATTGTTTTACATTTTTTATTACATTTTTTTTCTTTTTTTTAAGATTTTTTTTTTTATATTTCACTATGTCCAAAGTAGTACAATGTTACCATAGTAACATTGTACTACTTTGGGGAAGTGATCAGTATTTTTTTTTTTTTTTTTACACCATTTGCTTATAGCAAAGAATTACTTTGCTATAAGCAAGCATTTACCTGAATGACATCGATTCATTCAGGCTTTTTTTTTTTTTTTTTTGTGTTAGCTGTGATTTGGCCACAGCTAATCACATGACATGTGCATGTAATTAGCTGTGACCATTCACAGCTAGACACTAGTATACAATGGATGGCATGAATGAAGCCATCCATTGTATAAAACTGTCATGTGAACTGCTGTGATTGGTCACAGCAGGTCACTTGGTACCGGCAACAGGGGCCGGTACTCAGATCTGTCATCGGCCGTGTCCGAGGTACACGGCCGGTGACAGATCACTCCGCTGAGCGGCTCTGCAAGCGCAAAAACTGCGCATGCCTGGGAGTACGCCATACGACATCCACCCGGAAATCTACAGCATTTTGTCGGCCGCCAAACGGCTATTGGTTAAATGCATCACAATAACTTCCTCATGATACCATGCGTTATCTGAATTCTACCCACTGTGCGTTTATCTAATAGTGTCCCAATATAAATCTTGGTGAACCGTCCTTTTAAGACTCAGTGCTCCAAGTCCTAATGTGCAATTTCTTCTCTGTATATATTCATCCAGTGATATTGTGTGACCCCCCCAGTGTTAGATCCACCTCCGACACACTTATGCGCTCACCTTGTGGTTTGACCCGAACCGTCAGGTCAAACCGTGCCTTTCCCTTTAACCCGGGCGGGTATACTGATGTATCAATCTCCAACTCCTCCTGCACCTCCAAACTCCAAGGCCTCCTTTCCCTTTGCTGGTATATATATCCAACTCCTCCTGCTCCTCCACACTCCAGAACGCACCACAGAAAATGGAAAAAATGCTCCAGATGGTGAAGTATATCAAATCATTGTAAACTTTATTAAAACTCTTAAAATCTCCCACTCACATTTATTTGTGTCCTTTTGGGACACTACAGGATCAATATCTTTGTATAGTAATTTTGTGAATGAAACTGCATTTGAATCCCCTATCCAAGATGGCGGATCTTCTGAAAACTGACACTTCTGGGAGTGTTGATGTCCACGGTTCCCCACTGCTCTGACTGATTCCTCCTGTTGACCTTTATGCTACTACTGTAGTAATGGGAAGGTCAGCAGGAGGAATCCATAAGATCTGCATGGAACCCAGGAGATTAACGTTCCCAGAAGCACCAATTTCTTCGCTGATTTCAAGGGCCAATTTTCAGGAACAGAGACACATTGGACTGCAGATGACGTACATATTGCCATTCTTTTACTCTTATAGTCTACCCCAAAAAAACCCACTACAGTGACGAGGTCTATTTAAAGCGATCTTGCGTCCCATTTTAAATATGTAAATTCCTTACCTGCTGTAGGAGCTGCCACCACAAAATGTATCTTGTTACCTTTATTTAGGTTGGGGAAATACAGGTCCTAGTAGCAATGCAGAACGGAATTGGAGAGCGGCACATAGGAAGCTTTTCAGGACATTTTGCAGTATCTGTGCTTATGCCGATATTTTGTTGCCTATTCAGAGCAAAGCTCTCCCTTGACACACCTATACTCAGCTTCCCTTGCTTACTGCCACTTTGTTGCTCCATCTGAGCCCTTGTAAAATTCCTGTGCCTCCTTAGCAGTGTATGACCCTCCCAGCTTGCAGTGCTTTGGGTCTGGGGGGTGATGACTATCTCAAACCCCGTATAAGCTCCCGTATATAATTCATTCAGGGTTAGTACTCTGCGCTCCAATGGAGTAATGGAACAGCTGACAAGTGCAGGGAACGTGAGAATCAGTGATTTGGATGGTGAGCGACACAGTCAGTTTGCATTCTGTCATCATTCTTGAAACCAGGGACCAGGCATACCTGCATGGTTGGTCACACACTTTGCATACTTGCAAATGTCAGATGGTATCTGTAGTTGAGAGCTTGGGCTTACTTCTTGTCCCTCACTATTGTATTTTAAGTTTGACTGGAGGCCTTACTGACCAGAAGGGAGGTGCAAGGATGGGTCCCAGTGCTTGACATTTAGTCACTGTTCTCTGTGAGTAGGCACTACTTTGTCACACATTTCACAGAGCCTGCCTTCTGAACTACAGAGGTACTGAGAGGAGGAGTTTCAGGAGACTGAGTGAGTTCAGGAAACCCTGATTGTAGGCTGCAAGGTACCATGGGATCTGTAGTCCTTAGAAATGTAGGTGAAACTGTAAAGCATGCAAGGAATTCAGGGAGTTTTGGAAAAAGATGGCCAGTAGACAGGCAGCACTCACAACATGAAAAGAGATTTTTCAAGTAACTGTACACTGATTAGCCATAACTTTATGACCACACTGACAGGTAAAGTGAATAATATTTATTATCTCATTACAATGGCATCTGAAAGTTGGTGGGATATAAGATACACAAGTAAACATGTTATCCCTGAAGTTGAGGTGTTGAAAAAAGAAAAAAATGGGTACTGCAGTTGGTTGCGTATGGGGCTGTGTATCTACAGATCAGTGAGGGTGCCCATGCTGACCCGTGTCCACAGCAACCCTCAATGGGCACATGAGTATCGGAACTGGACTACAGAGCAATGGAAGAAGGTGGCCTGGTCTGGTGAATCATGTTTTCTTTGTGTGTTTGTGTGACTTAGCTGGGGAAGAGATGGCACTAGGATACAAGCCAGTGGAAGCAGTGTGATGCTTTGGCAATGTTCTGCTGGGAAATATGTGTCCCCCCCCATTCATGTGGATTTTACTTGATACATACCACCTACCTAAACATTGTTGCTGACCCTAGTGCACCCCTTCATGTTATTCCTTGATGGCAGTGGCCTCTTTCAGCAGGATAATGCGCCTTGCCAAACTGCAAAAATTCTTCAAGAATGGCTTGGGGAGCACAGTGAGTTAGAGGTTTTGAATTGGCCTCCAAGTTCTCCAGATCTCAATCCTTGGAACATCTGTGGGATGTAATGGAAAAACAAGTCTGATTCATGGAGGCCCCACCTCGCATCTTACAGGACTTAAAGGATCTGCTCCTGATGGCTTGATACCAGATACCACAGCATACCTTCTCTGAGGTCTAGTGGAGTCCTTGTCTTGATGGGTCAGGGCTGTTTTGGTGGCAAAAGGGTGACCTCCTCAGTATTAGGTGGGTAGTCATAAAATATGGCTGATCGTTATATATTGAATTGTGAAAAAGAACTATTGGTCATACAATGCTGATGTGTAGGATGTGACCATAGATTTCCTTTACAATAAATCTCTTAAATAATGGCCTTGTATATGCGGTGGAAATGAGTATATTCTGTTTGGAAGTGTTTGTAGTCCACAGCATTTTTGGAGCACATTTTGTTCTACTTTGGGTCTTCTGAAGTAAATGTAAATTAGGATAACATGGTAATAGTCTACTATATACTTTAGGATAACATGGTACTACTCTACTATATACTTTAGGATAACATGGTAATACTCTACTATATACTTTAGGATAACATGGTAATACTCTACTATATACGTTAGGATAACATGGTAATACTCTACTATATACTTTTTCTAACATTTTCATGTTTCCAAATCAGCAATACAAGAGAAGAACCAGGAGCATTTGATTCGAGAGACATGTGAGTCTGTAATTCTAGGCACCCTGCACCCCCGAACATCGATCACCATTGTACTGCAGGTTCTCAACGATGCTGGTTCTGTATCCTTTGCTAATGCAGGTTCTGGCTGAGCCATCATTTCTGTGTTCAGCCACTAGAGGGCATACTTTCTCTTCCTAAAGCCTTATATAGAGTGTCTGCAATGTTTTCAATTACTTATTAGTCCATCTCCCCTTGTTATTCACACAATGTTTTATTCCTTTTAATGTCTTCTACAGTCAGTGAACCTTCTTCCCCCTGCTGCCACTTTCTCATTTGTCTCAATTATTTTTAGCAATTTATTGATATGGTGCAGAATTATTGTGAAGATATCCCAGTCACTGAGGTCATAAATTTAGAGAGAATATTCAAGAGCAGCAATGGACATATTCTGAAATATTCGTCTAAAATATTTAATTTGTATCTTACTTTTTCTCCCCTTCCACTCTGTGCAGTAAGTGAGATCAGCTACAGACTAATGTTGTTATAGGTCATTGACAATTTAAAAGCAGAAACTTCACTTGGGTTACATAGTTAGTCTGGCTGAAAAAAGACAAAAGTACACCCAGTTCAACCACCAAAAAAGAAAGTTAAAATCTTACACCCACAGTTGATCCAGAGGAAGGCAAAGGGGTTACCTTTAAACATTTTGGATTATATCAGCTCCATATAGGTTAAAGTGGTTCTATAGCCTAGACATTTTTAGGTTCTTCAGTCTATTCTGTCAAAATTAAAAGTCAGCAGCTACAAAAGACTTTTAATAAACAGACACTCATTTGCCCAAGGATCGAGTGCTGTCCTCACCTGAGCTGGTATCTTCACAGGTCTTGTGTCCCGGCGTCAGCATCTCAAATGTGGGCAGCCAGCTATGACTCTTTGCAGCTTCACAGCCAGCTAAAGGAAATAAAATTGCTTGATTCCCCCGTCAACAGTGTGGATGGAGGAAATCTCTCCTGTAGGGCTATTGTGTTCTGAAGGCGAGGAGCCTTCCAGAAAACAGTTATCGCTGCCTGTGGCTATAGCCTCTGGCAGTGATCAGGTGAAAAAAGCCAGCAGGATGGTTGCAGTAAAGTCAGTCAATAGATTGACTTCAGTAAAACCGGCCGGCTCATAGATGCATCAAAATTTGGCCGGTTTCTCCTGAATTGGCCAAATTTCAATCCATTTTAAGGTTGCAACTACTGTAACTTTAATGAGAAAATCTCTTCAGTTAAACCTCTACATAAAATAGGCGGCCTTTGCTTTTGAAAATGCTTGTTCTCTGGCTGTTATATTGATCAAATTACATTGATCCAGAATCAAGCATGCAGATCAGGAGTTTGACATTCCCTTCCCAAATAATTGTCCTATGTCAGTTACTTAAAAAAAGTACCAGAGACAGCAAAGCAACTGGCATTTTCAGGGGTCTGAAATGCCTATATGTTATTGCGGTTTTCTTCTTTTTAATGCAGATTTTCCATTAAACTGAATCTGGTTTGAGTTAAAAAGTGCGGGCTTAAAATCAGGCTGTGGGGACAAGGTTTTACCACATCCCCCAACCCCCCCCCCCCTGACTGCCAAGACGGAAGTTAACATGGCCTGTGGCACTTTTATTACACACTGCCATGGTTGCAGGGCAGCAACATTGTGTTTGACATGCATTACCACTGCCAAATTATAACCAATTAGACCGTGCTGCCATGGCCTCGCAGGGCCTCAGCTTTGCCCAACTTATAGCTCAGCCTACTGACTAAGCACTTCTGTGTAAAGAGTGTCATGACTCAGTGGAAAACTGCTAATCTGTGCCTCTTCATTCTGATAAACTCAAAAAACTTAGTGTAACTTATAGTTTTGGTTAGAGTGCAGAGGAATTAAAACAAAGGTTTTTGTTTCTGTCTGTGCCCCCTTTAGGGAGATTCACCCTCTCTGGTTGTCCTGTTTACCATTATCGAAAATGAAAGTAAAAGAAGATCCCAAATTTTAGTTTGTCCCCTTTATTAGAGGGGACATTTTCCAATGGGGACACTATTTCTGATGACCCTGGTGACACACCCGGCTTTCCTCCCTTTTTTTAGGATTTCCTCTCACTTCCTGTTTTGGCTATGGGACAGGAAGTGAGGGGAAATCTCCCCAATGGGACATAGCAAAAAAAATTGACTCGGGTTTTAACCCTCCCTTACTCTATCCAAAATGAAAAAAAAAAAAAATCTGTAAAAAACAAATTTCTAGGAGTGAATGTGGTTTTCGTTTGGGAAATTACATTCATTCCCAAATCAAATATTAAAAGCAAACAAAATTTTAAAACACTTTCGAACATCATTTGTCAAGTCATCAAATATACTAAGAATTTTTGTACAAACCATCGTACGAATATCTAATGGCATATGGCCAGCTTAAAGTGGTTCTCAAGATCTAAGGTTTTTTTTTATCCTTTAACCTGAGTCCAATCTTGATTCAGCAGAAGAGAGCAGTGTCTCTCTCTCTGATCTCACTCCTCACTGTCTCAAAGGTAGCAGTGGGAGCCCTTGGCTCCTGCTGCTGTCAATCACAGCCAGTGAGGAGGGGGTGGAGCCAAGCCACATTTTGTCAATGAACATGGGCTAGGGATCGAGCCTGTATGAGTGACCCCATAGCAAGAAAATTGCTATAGGGATGCTCAGCAGGGGGAGGAACCAGGAGTGTCAGCAGGGGACGTGAGAAGAGGATAATCGGGGCTGCTCTGTGCAAAACCATCAGCATAGAGCAGATAAGTATAACATGGTTTTTGTTTTTAAAAACACATTTTTTTTTTCCTTTACAATCACTTTAGGATGTGATCATTTGGACTTTCCTTGTGTGATTTTTCTTTAATTATGTGGACCTGTATTGGACTCCATATATCATCAGTGTGTATATTATTGCCACTCTGGTATTAGCATTTGTAAAATGTGGTCTGACTTTCATGGGAGGTTATCTGAATATAGCTCAGGAAATGTTCTGATCCTCTCTGCTTTCTGTTCTAGAAATATCCAGCACTTAAAGGATAAGTTCGCCTTTTGCTAAAAAATAATAATGCATGCACATTTTTTTTGCAGGCAAAAAAATATGCATTTATTATTTTTTGTTGCAGGAGCTTGTAAAGCATTCTTTCTGTCAGTATATCTTCTTGCCCATATACTTGCATGGAACCAGCGATCTGCTGATCACTGGTGCCATGCAAGTCTCCTGCAGACCTGTCAGTATATCTGCTTGCCCGTACAGGATGTACAGTGCAAGCAGATATACTGACAGGAAAATCTACCATCTAGCCACAAGCGACTTGGTAGTTCATTGAGAACTTCAAGCTGTCAGCCGCTAAGGCTGTCCGGGACATGTACTTTCTCATTCACAGAGGTTTTTTTTTTTTTTCTTTAAGCGGGGGGATCTGGGGATGGTCTATTCATAACATGTCACATGTTACATCCTGAATATGGGTGAAACCTGTTAATAAAGATGAACTTATTCTCTATAAAATATAAAAAAGGCAAAACTTTTTATAGTCATGGATAGAATGGAGAGGGATCATAACACGTATTAGGTTTTTACTGCTGTCTGTGACCCCCTTAGGGAGATTCACCCTTTTTCTTTGTCCTGTTTTCCATGATCATTTAAAGTGATGATAAAAGAAAATCCCAAATTTTGGGCTGTCCCCTGAAACGTAATGAGGGGCAATCTTCCAATAGGGGCACTAATTCTGGTGACCTGGGGGATTTCAAGAGATTATCTTAATGTACAGGGATTTTCTCACACTTCCTTGTTTTGGCTGTGGAACAGGAAGTGAATGTAATTCTCCCCAATGGGACAAAGATGACAAAAAAAAGAAAAAAAAAACCTGTCGGGTTATAATAGCCTCCCTAAGCCCAGCCATACATTGGTCGAAATTCGACTGATTTTTCGTCCAAAAATCGGACCTAAGAATATTCGGCCGATTTTCGCTCTGTTAGTGGGTCAATGGCACTGGCCAATTTTCGTGGTTCCTCCCCTTTTCAGTGATCGGGCATGTTGAAAAATTCGTGAAAAACTACCAATTTTCGACTCGATGGTCAAATCGTATGATAACTTTTCCGAAAAGAATATGCACATGAGCCGTGACCTGGAAGGAACAGAAGTTTCGCCTGTTAATGGGGTGAACTTTATGACTTGGTCGGCCGATTTTTGAAATTGTTGATGGCACCATCACATTACCGAGCGAACGACGTTTTCAATTTTTGGACAAAAAATCGTTTGGAGTTCGAACCATGTATGGCCTGCATAACTCTATCCAAAATGAGGAAAAAAAAGAAGTGTTCTATAGTTCTATTTTAAGGCAGAACTGCACTCCCCTCCGTTCCAGTAATTTCATTAAAAGTAGGCATAGACGGGTCCATTTTTTTCTGTTCAACCAGCGGGTTGAATGAAAAAAAACGGAACCTGTTTTCCCCATCCACAAACTCGGTGCGGATGCAGGAATCTTCACCGTTGTGTCAAAATCTGACGGCATGGAGACCTTCCCACCATCAGAATACATATATCAGCACTGCAGTGCCGATCGAGCGAGAGAATACAGAGAGGGCAGTTGAACAGAAGTTGTTCGGTAGATTGAATTCTGTTCAACCACAGTGGCCACACATGGATCGAAATTCGGCCGGTTCCCAGCTGAACTGGCCAAATTTCAATCCATGTATGGCCAGCTTTGGATCCTTTGCCAGGTGCTGACATCATCTTCCTGGGCTTTTTCAGCTGCCTTCATTGCCTGGCAGGGATTGACGTGACTCCCGGGCAAGCACACAGAAATCATTCATCCAAACACACAGGCTGATAATGTATGCTGAGTTGCAGGGAGTGGTACCCTTCATCATTCTCGCCTAGGTGTGAAAGCAGGAAGTGCTGTGGTTCAGCTCCAAAACGTTTAGAGACCTTTATAAAAATAAGCAAAGATTATCCATTGGGGGGGCAGGAGCAAAAGAGATATTTTAAAGGGTGAAGAAGGTCCGCTTTAAAGTCAGAGTTAGTTGTTTATTCGCCAGAGCTGGTTATTATATCCACGATTTGACAAATCTTTGTGCATTAGAAGATTCTGTTGAAATAGTAAACTTTAGAAGCCGAGTCCTTCCAGACTTGTGTTCATAAAACACAGATAGGATCCTTTCCCTGCAATTTGTCACAAATTAGCAAGTCAATTAACACCACAGTGGTAGAGCGAGAAATTAGGATGTCATAATCTCCTGAATGGAAGACGGCTGTGCAGCAGTAAACATGCCTAAAATAGGACCTGGGAGATACTTGTCAGAAATGTTATTTTCTAATTAGTCTGAATGTCATCCCCATCGTTCTTACTGGCCTTAGCGCCTCTGGCATTCACGTTCCCTCCTAGAGCGCTGAGTTGGCGCATGTTTTTTGCTGTCTTGATAATGAGAAATACAGTAAAGATGTAAATTGGAGACACTGACTGTTACTTAGGCTAAGAACAAGAGCTGGGAAATATCTGACTGTCCTTCAACTGGTGCTGAGATTGGAGGATTGAGCTCAGTCACACCGATCTTCTTTTTCTGGCAACTATTATACTCCAGCTGCAATAACAAACCCCTCTGTTGGCTTGACGCTGTTGTTCTTGTCCCCTAATCTTGAAGCATTGTTTGTCGATAGTCGGGAACAATGTTTATTGACGCTCTAGAAGCAATAGTACAAACAGTGCAACACATTTCAGGGTCTCTGGCTGTCATCCAGCAGTTCATGTGTAATCATTTACATGCAGAAAAGTGAGCACACATGAACATTGCAGGTGCTTGTTTGCACAGATGAGGCAAGATATGTGGCCAATAAGAAAATATGTTTCTTCCACTACAAAAAATGTTTTTTTTTTTCCTTTTGATCACACATGGACTACAGTGGTGCTTTGTCTACATTGGGGTGTAACTTTACCTGCTGGTATTTTTGCTTTTTTTTTTTGCAGTTAGGAGTGTGCAGCATGAAGAATGAAGTCTTCAGCTGGAGGAGTTAGTTCAGCTCCATTCCCATAACCTGCATGTCCTCTGTTAACATACATAGTTAGCAGTTGACAGTTGTGTCTTATGTCTAGATCAGTGGTCTCCAAACTGCGTTCCTTGAGAAACTATTCCTCTCACTGTCACCAACCATAAGGTACCATTCCTGCCATTGACACCAAAAATGGGGCATTATTCCTCCCTCCTAGATTGTAAGCTCCAAGGAGCAGGACCCTCCTATCCCTCTTGTATTGTTGCTGTATTGTCTCACATTATATTGTAAAGGGCTGAGCAAACTGTTGGTGCTATATAAACCCTCTATAATAATAATAATTCCTCCTCCTATTGATATAAACAGAGGATCACTATCCCTCCAACTGACACCAATGATGGGGCACTGTTCCTTCTACTGTGGGGCAATAGTCCTTCCAGTGGTTGGGCACTGTTCCTTCCACTAACCACAAAGATAGGGCACTGTTCTCTTACTGATAGCAACAATGGGGCACTATTCTTTTTCATTGGTATCAACTATGGGCACTGTTCCTTCCAACAGTACCAGAAGTAGGGGCACTGTTGGGCACTATTCCTTCCAGTGGTTAGGCACTGCTCCTTCCACTGCACCAAAGATGAGGCACTATTCCTTACAGTGACACCAAAGATGAGGTACTATTCCTCCTACTGACACCAACAATGGGACACTATTCTTTCTACTGACACCAATGATGGGACACTATTCATCCTGCTGATACTAAAGATAAGGCACTCTTCCTTTTACTGATACCAGTGATGGTGCACTCTTCATTCCACTGGCACCAACAGTGGGCACTATTCCTCCTACTGACTCCAACAATAGGGCACTATTCCTTCTACTGACACCAATGATGGGAGATTTTCCTTCCACTGACACTAATGATGGGGCACTCAGTCTCCCACTGACTCCAAAAATGGGGCACTAATCTTCCCACTGACTCCAAAAATAGGGGCACTATTTCTTCCACTGACACCAAAGTTGGGGTACTGTTTCCTCCTATTGACAGCAAAGATGGGGCACTTTTCCTCCTCCTGACACCAACAATGGAGCACTATTCCTCCTACTGTCAACAATGATGGGACACTATTCCTCCTACTGCTACTAAAGATAGGGCACTATTCCTTTTACTGATACCAATGATGGTGCACTCGTCATTCCACTGGCACCAGCAGTGCGTACTCTTCCTTCCACTGACACCAAAAATGGGGCACTATTCTTCCCACTGACACCAGTGGTGGGGCATAATTTCTTCTCCTACTGACCACAAGTGTAATGTAACTTTTTTCGTTCCACTGACCATCAAGCCTGATGCTGGGGAACTTTCTACTCCCATTGACCACAGTTTGGTCCTCCTAAAGTCTGAAGGACAGTAAACTGGTCCTTTTGTCTTTAGAAGGTTTGGAGACCCTTGGGCTAGAGTGAGAAGATTGCATATGACTCATTTATTTGGCCATGCAGCCCAGAAAAACAGTGTGAGTAAATATAGACTCCATAAAGATTTTATGAGCACACATAAAATCTTGCTAGTCACCAGATACCTATCAGTTTGTGCCCATTGATTCAGCAGCCTTAACTCCTAACCCTTCCCAGTTACTTGCCTGCTGTCTTAATGCTGCCTGCATGGGTTTGATGGATGCAGGGATCCCTATGCACTCCCTTTTCTGTGGTGTCACATGTGCACTGGATGCTGAAGATCAGTTAACCCTCGACCCCAGTTCTAAACAACAAAAGGTCAGTCAATTAACCATTTTGGTGAACATTTCATTATTTTGCAATATGGTTTTTATGGCTGTTGATCTCCGGCTGTAGACAGGACCACTGCTCTCTGTAAAGCTTGGCCATACAGTACTATGCAAAAGTTTTAGACAGGTGTGAAGAAATGCTGTAAAGTAAGAATTCTTTCAAAAATATCTATTTTAATTGTTTATTTTTATCAATTTACAAAATGCAAAGTTGGCGAACAGAAGAAAAAACCTAAATCAAATCAAAATTTGGCATGACTCCCCTTTGGCTTCAAACCAGCATAAATTCTTCTAGGTACACTTGCACCCAGTTTTTGAAGAAATTCGACAGGTAGGTTGTTCCAAACACCTTGGAGAACTAACCACAGAATGTCTGTGGATGTAGCCTGCCTCAAAGCCTTCTGTCTCCAAGTAATCCCAGACGGACTCCATGATGTTCAGATCAGGACTCTGTGGGGGGTAAACCATCACTTCCAGGGCTCCTTGCTCTTCTTTACGCTAAAGGTAGTTCTTAATGGCATTGACTGTATGTATGTGCTTGTTGTCCTGCTGCAAAATACATTTGAGGCCAATCACATGCCTCCCTGATGGTATGCCATGATGGATAAGTGTCTGCCTGTATTTCTCAGCATTGAGAACACCAATGACTGGGCAATATTGAGGACTGTGTAGACACAATGGTTGGCCAAGGAAACATAATGCTGCAGATGAAAGACACATCATGCTTACTTTCCCTTTGTCATTAGTAGATGTCCAGCAGTCTTCAGCGTAAAAAAGAACAAGGAGTCCCGGAAGTGATGTTTTGGCCCCCCAATCTTAATATCATTTTCTGTGTGGGATTACATGAAGAGACAAAAGAATGGGAGGCAACCTACATCCACAGAAGATTTGTGGTTAGTTCTCCAAGATGTTTGAAACAACCTACCTGCCGAGCTTCTTTAAAAACTGCATAAGTGTACCTAGAAGAATTGATGCTGTTTTGAAGGCAAAGGGTCGTCGATCTCTCTGTTCATTTTCTTTCCATTTTGTAAATTGACAAAAATAAACTATTAATACTTCTATTTCTAAAAGAATTCTTCATTTTCAGCATTTTTCACACCCGCCTAAAACTTTTGCACTTTTGTTTTCAAAACCTTCATAATTTTCTTATAAATAGTGGGGTCAAATCGGCATTCGTTTCTGACCGTAGTGAAGAGAGCATTCAAAGGATTGAATAAAGGAATGAATTTGTAACGATTAATGTGATTTTCATGTAGGAAAATACATTCATTCCAAAAATTGAATATTTTTAGGTACTTTTAAATGACATTTGCCAAGTTATTCAATGTGCTGATGATGTATCCAGCCTAAGTAGCGGTCTGACACAGTTCCTGCTGAGTCAGAGATAGAGCTAGGCAATCAAAAGGAAGCAGGAGCTCTAGCTCTGACTCGACCATGATTGTGTTTGCAAACTCCAACAAAAGTAAGACTTGTGTTGAATATTTTCAGCACCTTAAATTTAAAGCCCAACTCCAGGCAACTAAAAAGTTATCCTTTCTGTTTGGCTGCACCTGCACTGAAAGGGTTAATCGCTTGCTTAGGTCTAGAGGATGGTAAAAAGATTCTTACCTGAGCCTCTGCTCTTTCCTACTTCTAGACTGCTCCCCACAACGTCTTATCCCCTACGTTCTAATGGTCTATGGTCCTGATGTTATCAAAACCATAGCCTTGCACTGGACATGATGAGGCTAAGGGACAAGGAGGAGCTCCGTCTGCTAAAAGATCAGAGGATCAGGTAAATAAAAGCTCTTCTCTCTCCTAGACAAATTGAGCCATTAACCCTTTAAAGTGTAGGCGCAGCCCCACTGCAAAGATAATTTTAAAGTTTCCTGGAGTTGGGCTTTAAAGTGGTTGTAAACCTCGGACATGAAATATGAACAAAACATATCCCTCTATAGTGTGTACTTGTCTCAATCCAGAGCACTAGGTGTTAATTCTGTCAGCTGCCCCATTCCTCTGTTATAAGCATGAGTCACTTCTGACAGGTTTTCCTGACACCAAGAGAAAAATGGTGACAGGGAGGGCAGAGCCTATGATTGATGGCCTCAGCTCTGTTGCTGTGTGAAGGGGGTGTGTCCCTTCCCTCCTATCAGCTCTCAGAGCTCTTCTCACTGATGTAACTTCAGCTCTCTGAACTCTGTTTGCAGAGCACTTTGAATAGATGTAGGGGAAAGATGGTTATAGATAAACTGGTGCAACTTGTGTAGGAGGATTTATTTCATGTCTGTGTATCACCTGAGGCAAGTCACTTTACTGGGCACACATGAGGGTTTACAACCACTTTTAACTATTTTTTGTGTTGGGCCTTAACTTTCTGTAGAGTGAAAACCTTATTCAGTGGAAAAAAACTTGAGATGTGAAATTGAGTGTCACGTTGTATTACCAGGAGAGCCGTGCGGTGTTAACCTTTGCGATAGAGAGTACAGAGAATAAGGTGTTAATGGGTTTCCTCCCGAGGCATGTATTCACCCGCAGAGGTAAGGTTTTAATTTTTTTTTTTTTTTTATCTAGTTCTCCCTTTATTACAAGGGCAGTTCAAGCTTCCCCCTCCTTCTAATGTGGACATAATGCAGAGCTTCTCCTTCCTTCTTATACACAGGCATTGCAGAACTCTCCTGTACTCTTAATACACAGACACGGTACATCATGACCCCTCCATAACGCGATATGAGGACTTATACCTTTCGCCCTCCTTTTAACATTTATGTTGTAGAAAACACACAGTACTGTAATGCAGTGATAATGAGACACCGACATCTTCCTTCTTCCTAATACACAAGACTTCTGGGAGTGCTGACCCCTTTTTATTTTCTCTTATTACAGCAACATCAAGATGTCTTCCTTTAATAAACTGATGGGGCCCCTTGATTTCTGATGCAAAAGTATCTTACCATAGTATTAATGCCTCCGGGCTGGGTAATGGTCAGCAGAAATAATTCTAGCATGCTCTACCCTGTACAGTGACCGATCTGTAGCTGCAGCGTTTAGCTCCTAAGTGTGGGTGGCTCCTCTGTATTATGCAGATGGCTGTATCGTATTGAAATGCTTGGATGGTCATGGTGCTGCATTATGCTATCATTTGTTTTTTTGGACGGTACTGAGTGGCCTCCAAAGAGTGATGAGATATCTGGCAGTCTCTCAGTCTGCGCAGTAATGCAGAGTCTCCAGATGACCCCATGGCTGCTCTGCTGAGTGGTTTGGAGAAGGCACCATGCTGCACACACTTCTTGGGTCTGTCATTGTTGAGCAGTAGGAAATGGATCACTCTAGCCACTTGCCCTCCTCAGGATTTACCCCCCTTCCTCACCAGGCCATTTTTACGGCGCTGCGTTACTTTAACTGATAATTGTACGGTCATGCAATGCTGCACCCAAAAAAAGACTGCCAAGTTTGAAAAAATAAAATAAAATTATATATATATATATATATATATATATATATATATATATATATATTTTTGTTTTTTTTTTGCTATAAAACATATCCAGTGAAAATCAATTTTAAAAAATCAGATTTCATCATAAATTTAGGCCAAAATGCATTCTGCTACATGTCTTTGCTAAAAAAAAAATCCCAATATATGTAAATTACTTGATTTACGTAAAAGTTATAGCATCAACAAATGGCGGTATATATACTGGAATTTTTTTTCTGTTATACTAGTAATGGCGGTGATCAGCGACTTATAGCAGGACTGCGGTGGGCATTCTGACACTGCGGGGGAACTGACTAACTGCCACTGACATCCCCAGTGACACTAATACAGTGGTCAGTGCTAATAAAAAGCACTGACACTGTGCTAATGATACTGGGCAGGAAGGGGTTAACATCTGGGGCGATCAAAGGGTTAACTGTGCTGTTTTACTCTATTGCCTATGTGCGTTTGCCTGTGTACAGGGGCTGACTGACCATTTGGTAACTCGGGCACTGCCCGAGGGCCCCGGGTCAGTAGGGGGCCCCATGAGATGCCCCTGGTACCTTTTTCATAGGCTTTTTTGAGTTTGGGCAAGGACACAGGGGCCCCATGATCCCCTATTGCCCGGGGGCCCCATGAGGTGTCAGTCCGCCCCTGTCTGTGTAAGCATGTTGGTTTGCATTGCTCTGCTATGCAGAGTAATACAAAGCAGCATGTTGGTGCTGACAGGGGAGAGATTTGTATTGTTTACATACAGATTTCTCCCGTCAGTGTTCCTCGGAGATCACTGGGTACCGGCAGGGAATTTCCGGTCCGGACCCGGTGATCAACAGCTGTATCTGCCAATGGTGGCGTGGGTAGGTCGTGCGCGCGCACAGGATCCCTACCCGGAAAAAAAAAAATTACATGAATTTGCGCAGCCCTGCCACCCTATTGCAGTAGTCGGGAAGCGGTTAAGAACCTGCATATGAAAGCAAAAATGGAAACATCTCTGCAATGAGGAGTATGAAAGTATGGGAAGTATATTAAAGTATAACTCAAGGCCAATTTTTTTTTTTTTTTTTCCATTTTGGTCAGGGTGGAGAGGGAGGATTAGAACCTCTGTCAGGCTTTTATTGATGTCTGTACCTTTTGTTAGGGAGATTCACCCTCTTTATTTGTCCTGGTGACTGTTATCACTGAAAGTGAAAGAAAACCCAAAATCATGAGTGGTCACCCGGTACCGGAATAGAAGGGAAATCTTCCAATGGGGACACTAGTTCTGGTGACAGCTAAGGATTTCCCGCACATTGGAGAGAATTCCTGTTGTTTCCAGTTGCAGCTATGGGACAGGAAGTGAAAGTAAATCTTCCCAATGGGACACAGATGGCATCAGGGGTCATAACCCTCCTGTATTTTATCCATGATAGGGAAAAAAGTTTTTCCTTCAGTTCTATTTTGGGGCTGAACTTTAGGCAAACAGTTGGATACACATATGAAATGTATACGTCTAACAATGCTGTTCTACCCACCAAAGTATTTGTAGCTATGACTATATATGGTTTATGTGCCCTACTATGGGGGCTCTCAAAATTTGTAAAGTTAGGAACTACTTAGAATATCGGGGTGCTGTGAAGAGGTTTTGCAGCTTACGCATGTATTTACAAATGTGTGCTAACTAAACCCGTTTTTAATACATACTGTTAAACAGGCTATTTCGGTTTGTTTGCAGGCTGGTTGGTAAGTTGAGCTGGGAATTTCTATTTTATTGTTTGGCATGAGTCCCCATTCGATGTGCTCCTTGCTGTGAAGGCCAGTTTATAGACTGGGGCAGTGGCCATTTTTTGTACTGTTGACTTGTTGGTGAAGGGGCGCACTGGACAGCTTGGCAGCCATTGTGCTATATGCTGGGTGTCCAGTGCACTCCTGTACTTTTTTAAGGAAGGGTGGGCTCCCTCAGGTTCACCTGCCCTCGGTCTATCCATTAAATACATGTACCTCTACTATGGGGGCTCTCAAAATTTTGTAGAGTTAGGAACTGCAGAATATCGTGGTGCTGTGAAGAGGCTCATTTGGTTTGTTTGCAGGCTGGTTGGTAAGTTGAGCTGAGAATTTTTCTTTTTTTATTGTTTGACATGCATTGCCCTTCCATGTGCTCCTTGCTGTATAGGCCAGACTGGGGCAGTGGCCATTTTTTGTAATGTATGTCTATATAGCCTGCCACCAAATGCATCACCGCCTTAGCGCCACCTCAGATCTTCAGGCATTAGACTCTCATAATGAGTGCGCAACCTAGATCCTTCTCATGTGCAGTTTACAATAGCATTTGTGCTCCTATTAGAATGTAATAGCATTTGACAGGAGGTGGATCTCCGGCGATGATGAGAGCGGCTGTAGGGCTAATTCACACAGTGTGTGGTGACCAATGTTTTCCTGCATTGTAAAACGTCTGTCATCGCAAGGACACACAGGAAACAGTTGTTTCCTATGTGTTCCATTCACACTGCAACGCAGCCTATGCACATTACATTTTATTGCAGCGCACTGGGCAGAATTGCATGACAATGTACAGCAGCGCATCCTACTGCTTTACATTGCCGTGAATGAAATGTACTTTTTGTACACACAAAAAAAAAAATGGGAGCCATGTGATGCGCTGAATCACACACCACACTACCCACTGCTCCTACCATAGCTGGGAACTGACAGCTGTGGGAGCGGTAAAACACTGCAGCAGCTCTCTGTTCCCATGTGAATTCAGTGTGGCGTGGTTCCTAACAGGCCACGGACTGGTACCGGTCCGGGGGTTGGGGACCTATGCTGTATAGGACAATGCAAGAGGCTGACACCAAGTTAAATGCATGTACTTATACTACATGCATTAAGAAAATACATGGTGGTGTACTAATGAATGCATAGGTGCACCATTTGTCTTTTTTTTCTGTTAGGAGTTCTGACTCACTTTTTAGCACTGGTAGACTGGTGCTGGTAGTTGCTGATGATTATTATTATTATTATACAGTATTTATATAGCGCCAAAAGGTTTGCTCAACGCTGTACATTATAGTGGGGGACAGTACATGAGACAATATAGTAACAAAACAATACACGAGGGGTTCGAGGGCCCTGCTCTTTCGAGCTTACAATCTAGGAGGGAGGGGAAAGTGGTACAGGAGGAAGTGGATGTGGGGGATGGAGTGGTAGGAGGAGTGGAAGAGATCGGCTGTTAGGTGAAGGTGGGGTAGGCTTCCCTGAAGAGATGGGTTTTCAAGGTGCGCATAAAGGTGAGGAGGGTAGGTGACAGTCTGATGGATTGGGGTAGTGAGTTCCAGAGGATGGGGGAAGTCCTGGAAAAGTCCTGCAGTCGGGCGTGGGAGGTGGAGACCAGGGAGCTAGAACGTAGGAGGTCTTGTGCTGATGCCTTGTCCTGAGCTTCATACCCACTGTAGGATTATCTGGTTAATCTAGAACAGTGACCCTCGCCCCTCCCCTAGCTATGTGCATTTTAGGGGTGTCAGTGCAGTGGCTTCCGTATCTCTGGGATTGGTATACGAGGGTGGAGTGCTTGAATCTGCAAACACATTGGGGATGTTTTACTAACACCCCAGTCACATTGGGTGTGACTTGGCATGCGATTTGCATGCCATGTGACTTGCAAATCGTTGGCCAAGTCGCACCCTACTGTCCACAATTAGAACGGTCAAATCGGTGTGGTTTCAACTTGGTCGGATACGCACTGATTTCTAAAATAGTACATGCACTACTTTTGGTGCGATTTGTATAGATGTTTCTGTCAGGTGTCTAGCAAATCGCACCTGAAATCGTCATCTCACCCGACTTTGAAATCGTGCGACTTCACTGTAAGTCGCATGATTTCAAAGTTGGGCTTGATGTAACCGGGGGGTAAAACTGGAGAGTTCAATATCTGGTGCAGCTGTACATGGCAGCCAATCAACTTTTAACTTCAGCTTGTTCAATTAAGCTTTGACAATAAAAGCTGGAAGCTGATTGGTCTCTGTGTATAGCTGCATCAGATTGTGCGCTCTCCAGTATTGGTAAATCAACCCCAATGGTTTTTATGTGGTGTTCCAGTACTGACCATAGATATATTTTTACATCCATCTGCCCTATTCATTTGCAGCATTATTACAACACCCACAGAA